ATAAATTTGAAGAAGAAGGGTTTATCACTTATTAACCATGTCCACCCTCTTTTTATTTTCATTAATTGCAGGATATAAGGGCTGTAGAAATAAATTCTAACTATATATATTTTATAAGAATGGTAGCGTTAAAAATTTCATAATTTTAATCAACAGATAACGCTAAGTTAATGATGATATTTCAAAAATAAATTTATCAACAATTTTAGTTCAAAGTTAAATTGTTCGAATTTCTAATTCTATTCATTAATAATAGAGTTTTTTACTAGTTCGATGAACTGTGCATCGTTCTTATGGATACTTAAAGAAAGAGATGCCTCTTTTGGTGCATGAATATCATCCTTACGCTATGTATGTTTTAATCCTGCATGAATCGTCCCTTGCCACGTCACCAGCTCTAACAACTCTTGGCAAATTTGACCGATTTCATAACTCCTCTCGTAGACAGCTATGAAATCGAAGCCTTCCTAGTACTGTTGAGAGCCAAATCCAGAGAACATGGCGTACAATTAGATTTTCACAAGCATATCCACAACACAGGCCATTTATTCAATATTAGTAAATCATCAACCCATTAAAACCCATTATCAGGTTATAAAAAGCAAGCACCAGCGCCAAGTACTCGAAGCTATACTCACTAAAAAACTCAAAGGAATCTCTAGATCTATAGATTTGCCCGACATATATCATAGTATAATTCTTTCTACCTAAATAATAATCTCCAGTTTCCCAATTTGTTATTTACTGTAATCACATAACTAAATGGGGCATAATAAATAATAATCCATTTTTCAAACCTGTACAATGTGAATCAGTTTTTGCATATCTATCTTATATTTCCTACTTCATTGTATATATATATATATATATATATATATATATATATATATATATATGGATTGGTGTAAAATCAGAAAATCTCAGTAACGTAGTTATACCTGTCGAAAAGGGTTGTTAAGCCCGAAAGTTTGTATTGCCGTTATATATAAAATAAGCTCTCCCCTCAGAGATTTATCTTTATTTAACATTAGCTTTTTGCCTGAAATTTTCATAATTAGTATTGTGGCTCATCTTTTATCATCACTAAATATTTTTTAACTAGATTTATGAACATTGCATCGTTCTGTCGTTTAATCAAAGAGAGCGATACCTCTTTTGGTACATAAATATTGTTGTGTTGTTGGATGACAAAGAATAACTTCTGTGGGTACAAAGGATCTTTAGGACTTTATTTGAGCCTAATCGATGAAATAATTACAGAAGAGTGAAAAATAAAACAACAATAAATAAAACAGTAGTTACAAACTCACCAACTGCATTTTATCATTAATATCATCTAACATCAACAATACGTTGTATTTAATAAATATTCAATAAAATGTTACATAATAAAATTAATATAATATAGTACTTTGTATATGATAATGAATACATAAAGATATTATATGAAGTAAATCGATAGGATAACAATCTAGTGATAACAAACAGTAATACAAAGTCACTGACCAATCAACTATAGAAGAAAGCCAAACAATCCTGAATAGGATAAATGAACCGAACACCTTACTTGTTATTTATGTATTTATTGTGTGTACAATCTATAGATCTAGTAAATATAGATAGATCTTCCTGACAATTCAGTTATTATTTTAGTTTAGATTTAAGAGAAATCATCTCCTCTAACAAATATCAATAATCTTTATTCGAAAGAGATTTATAAATAATGTATGATGCATAGTTTGAATATATTGGATAGAAATGCATTTGCCAACTATTCGAAACATATAGCATAAATTAAAAATAATAATTATTTAAATATAAAACTCAAACTTTTTCGTAAAAAAAATAGTACAAATATGACATTGTAATGGGATAAAGTTCATAAATTAAGAAAAAGGCATCTCCTTATCGTGCAACAAAAGGTTGCTGATGGCTTGCGCTATCTATCGGAAATATCAACTATTCATTGATTTTTAATTATTCCATAATTGGCCAAATAACCATACTTTATTAAACAAGAAAAAGCTAACCACGTACACGTTTTGGGTTGTTGGCTCTCAAAATTCTTTGTTTATATGTATACAGATAGAAATTTAATATATATATCTTTTTTTTTCTTCTTTATTATAAATATTATATCAATCATTATACACACAACACAATTATAATTTTATTACGTACATAAAATTATTCAATTTTATTCACTTTCAAAAATATTACTTGATACCTTCGTAAACATTTATCAATTATCAAAATTCGAAACTATTTTAAATGCGTAAGATTCTTTTTAAAATTAAAGGGAGGGCCTGGCTCATCAGTGGTGAACCCTCCCAGCGGTTTCGCCACCTTAATCTACCATAACGCTGTTATATTGCATTTTTGAAACTTCCTTTTATAGTGATACTGTTGCTAGACTCTTGAAATTTATCAATTATATATATTTATTATTGATATGTCATATATATATCGTTCAGCACTTGTACTAGTATGAATAACAAATTCAGAAGTAAATCTTATTAAAATTAAAAAACGAAATTGATCTTTATCTTTATTAAGAAACTATCCTTTATATATATTGAAGATAGAAGTTGCTTGGCCAGCATTCATTTTTCTGTAGAAAAATATATATCGTTATATTGAAAGCAATATTATCATTTGAAAAATATGCTGAACTACAAGTTGTTTAAGTTTCAATTTTAAATGTTTCTTACTATATTCAACAGGGCTTTGATAATTTTAATTAGAATATTTATAAATTAAACAGCTTACTTTCAGGGCATATAATTTACCATTTGACCCCTTATTAAATTATCTCAAATAAAAATAAATTTTAGTTCAAAGTTATTTTATTATAAGTTTCGAATAATTATATATTTTAGAGAAAGTAAGTATATAGAATTTTACCATACTGTAATAAATGTAATTCAGAAAATGAATATATGAATTTTATATCAAACATACATTACGTTCATATAAAATAGCGTGATAGGAATTTTATATCTTATGTTTTTAATCTTACAAAAATACACATATAATTCCATTTGATTATGAATAACTTATTTATATATGATTATATGTCATTTTATATAATGTTAGAATCTATATTCGTGATGTGATTTGAATAAATTGGGATAGATTATTCTGAAATGTTTTCTAGGAGGATATTGATCTATGAAATAAAGGTGACTTTTTCTGTCAGAAGAGACACTAAAACAAATCGACATCGTTTGATTTTAAAATGGAATTTTCATATAATATAAATCTCTCTGTTTGTGAGAGATAGAAATGTTATTTATGTGAACAGATGTCGATTTCAATTCTTAATAAATTGATTTTCAAATTTCATCAAATATTTTCAACGCTTCCCTTTTTGTGTAACATATATTCATAGGCAATATTAAGGAAAATATACATTTCACCATTTTTTATCGGTATTCAAACGATAACTTCGAAATATATTTGGTACATAGTGATTTAATTGAAGATACACGATATAACAAAGTGTGAACATAATTGTTTCTGACTCTTTTAAAAAATACAGACGATTGGAGTCACTTAAGAAATTCCACTGCTTCAAGTTTTGTAAATAATTGAAGTTTGAGAATTTCTTGTATCTTTTTTATTCAAATTTAGCAATATTTTCTGACCATACGCACGATTTGCGGTCTACTATGGCGGCCTAATACTATGTATCAGGTACAAGGTCCATATCAATAAAGAAAATCATCACAACCTTTTTTTAAATTATCAATATTGTTTCAACTTCCAGGATGGTTGACTTCATGTCAATATATGATTGGTCCATATCATGATTATAAGTCAGACCAGTAATGATCTATGCCAGAGGAGTAATGATGAAACAAATTTATTTTAACAAAGTAAGTATTGACCGATTTCGCCAGATTTATAAATATACAAAACCGAGATATAATATAAACAAACAAAAACAGAGAATTTAGAAAGGACACTCGTCCCATACATGATATTACTAGATGGGTAAATAGAAGCAACATAATATGTATATATACAGAAATTGGAGAATAACATTAAACTTTCTTCAAGTTGAGTCACTCTTCTTTGTTGAGTCTTTATGAGTGTGCTATTCTCCACAATTTGTGAAAAGCTTATATATTGTTTAAAATATAATAACAAACTATTTACAAATTTTAAACGCCGATATCATGTGACTGATGTTTATTCACCGAGTAGACCCTCACAGATTATTCTGTGAAATTTAATACATCTTGCAACACACTTTAAGGTTAATTCACCATGTCAATTATTTATTGTTATTTTAGTAAATAATATATACCTTTAAAAACTGTTATTCCTATTTGTTTTCAAATCATTTTTATTACTAACAGCTAAAATAACATTCTACATCTTATTTGTACTGTAAATTAATATTAAATAAACAATAAAATCTAATAAAATTACATTCAAAAGAAGACATTCAAAGGCGAGAAAATTAAAAATAACTAATTAAAATTTTAATTTAGAGAGAGAGAGGATATAAAAAGTAATTTATTTGAATCGATGATCATTTTTAAAAATATTTTGAAGAGAACAGAGCCATTGAAGTAAATTACATTCTTTAAATTAAACCTTTAAAATATTAATCTTTAAGATTTTCCAAATAATCACAGAGAGCCAAATGCCATTTTTAACATCAAATATTTATTTTAAAACTTTCTCTCTCTCAACCTAATATATAATTAGTAAACTAAAGTTATTAATCATGCTACTTTTTCAAATAAATTTATTTGGAAAGATATTTAATTAAAATAGTTTTGATTTATGATTTACTTTCTTCATAACTATTACGGTTTTGTGAAATAAATTTCTGTTGTTTGAAGAGTTTTTTTAGAATAATATTTTTTTATTGATGGGTGTGATAGAGAATTGTTTATCTATATATTTGTAAACTGAGTATAATATAACAATACTATATATATTATAAATATTATTACTTTAAGTATTATTTACGAACGGAAAAATACGCCCAGGGTAGCCTAGTGGACATGGCTTCTGCCCGGTAAGCGGAACGTTGTGGGTTCGATTCTCGCCCCTGGACACTTTTATTTTTCCGTTCGCCATTACTCTTCATATTTTCACCCTTTCATACTTCATCCAAAAAAAGTTAGAAATAGTAAATATTTCTCTTTGAAATAAATATTGATTTTTCACAGAAAAGAAACTTATGCGGTGAAACTTTAAGTGTTGTTTTATAATTTTATATATCTTTTATCAAAATAAAAAGTAGTGAAAAGTTAAATATATATTTATTAGATTATAAAAAGGCATATATTGGATTGAATAAAATATTTATTTGACATTAGTTCAGGCAACTAAATATTTGCAAATAAATATACAATAAACTCTCCTATAACGCGAGTTTTTACAACGCGATTTCGTACAACGCGATAAAAAAATTGCGACAAATTTATTTATACAACGCGAATTTTCGTACAACGCGATATTTGTCACTAACAATTTACCCTAAAAAGATTCGCGTTATACAGTTTTATTTCGTACAACGCGAATTCCTATAACGCGATTTCATACAACACGGAACACATTAATCGCGTTATAGGAGAGTTTACGGTATTATTCAATCCAATATATTCCTTTATCATATTCAATGAATTGAATATGGGTTGCTCTATTTTCAGAAAAAAATATATATACATTTATAAAGTAATATTTAACTGGATTAACTGTAAATTAAGAAAATTTACTTTAGTACGTTTGCGTACTAAAATATTGCGTATGTTTACGCTATATATATTTGTATATTCAAAGAAATCCAACTATCCATGCTTCTCAGGCTGTTGGCCATCGCCAGTATGGAGTAGGTTGTAAAGCTATGAAGATGTTTACTGATGTATAAAGAAGGTTTATTTGACAAAAATATTTTGAAATACAATCAGAAGAGAATAATAACTTATTATTGAAACACCATATACGATATGCTTCTTCTTAATATAACCATTTAATCCCATTCTAATTTTACATTTTTTAAATTTTTATATATATTATATATTTATCTCTTTGAATAATATTTATTTAGAGATGTTTTATAGAATATAAAGATAATAAATATTGTTATATTGGACAGAGAGAGCGCGCACTCTAGTTTTAAAATATCCATTTTCTTTTAAAACATAATGTGTAAAATTATTTAAAAAATGGTAAGTATTTAATTTAATATTAATCACCTTTCATGTTGAAAAATAGTAAAAATAAAATTATCTCAGATGTTTATATTAAAAACAAATAAGGCATATTCTAATCGCACACATTTAGATGTCAAATATGCTCATATAAACGGTCAGGATATTCCTTTTTGTTTTTTTATTATTTTTACAATTTGAATATAATATTCATGATATAAATATTATGTTTTGAACTCAAAAATTAAAATAGAAGCTTAATCGATATTTCAATTGAATATATTCAATAGAATATGATATATCTTTTCCTATGCTAAAATTTAATAAAATTTAACGATTTTGTTTTGGACTTATAGAACGAAATTTAACAAGTTTTACCGCAAATGTTTCTTTTTACAGAATGAAAAATCGTAATTTTCATTATTTATAAAAAAATAAAAACTATTCTTATTCTTAGGGATGAGGTATCTTCTTCTTCCTTCTTATATCCACACTGGGTGAAGTAGAATGCCTTTGTCATTAAGACTGGGAGCACTACTCAGTAGCAGGCCGACTTAGCTCCAAAAGAAATGGCCACCTCTGATATGAGGAACAGACGACATGTGCGCAGCTCCTAACATGGAATACAAACGCTACTCATCCTGTATCCCTGGATCACGAGCCCTTACAGGGTACTATAAGCCGGGCCAGCTGAGCACCGGTTTTTTAGTAAGTTTGTTACTGCTCCCCCTCCTCCATTTTCATTCGGGCTTGGGACGGGCAAAGGCGGAATTGGGATAAAGTATGAAATGATGAATTGTGAAGAGTATTGATGAACGGAAAAATTAAAGTGTCCAGGGATGAGACGTTTTGTATTCATATTGAGTTTTTAACTGTAGTTATAAATTGATATAACAGGGGTACAAACACACATTTGAGTAATAATGCTGTGTTTTAAAAATATGTATATTCAATTCAAAAAACTAATAACACCGGGAATATATTTCTGCAATTTGGATTCCTATTGATATGGAATAAAACGAATATTTTATATTGAATATTTCATAAATATGAAGTTTGATATTGAATATGCTATGAAATATATTGCACCTACGGTTTGAATATATGTATTTATTATATATTTTAGGTCATATATATATTTTATATATGTGAATATGATATCCTATTTATATTATATATATTCTCTTCTCGAAATATATATAAATATTGGAGAATATATTAAAAATAAATCTAATATAGAAATTTTACTTTTATCAGAGGGCTTTATATATACATATATATGTGTTTTAGAACGGAATTTCTTGAATTTGGATTTATATATAACATAATATATCTCCCAATATATGCACTATTCTGTAATCATATATATAGTGTAATATAATAACGATTAGTTTCGATAAGGATAAGTTTCTTTATTTGTAAAATTAATTCGAGCTTTCGGGCGCAAGATGCCCTTCTACGGGAATAAAGGATACAATTTCAAATAAACATGTATGTACAAATATATATATTTTCTTTAAATGATATCTTGCTCTGGTCTTGTATAGCGTGAGTGGATCACATGCCCGCGTGATTTAGTTTAAATCAAAGAAAAGCCTTGATAAAGAGAGGCGTGTTGCCCCTAGAAAGCAGATTATCAATTATTACACGTTATTTTTCATTAAATTTCTCTCAATTATTTTTTATTTCATATGAAAAGAGCTTTTAATTGTTTTATTTAAATTGCCTTGATTTTTGAAATGTTTGTCTTTTCTTATTTGCCTACGTGAAATTCTATGGAAATAATGGAAAGATTAGCGTATAAGCGCGAAATTCATAGTGTGTATGCATAAGATATATGTTTATATATGTGTACTAAAAGTGTTAAATTTAAAAATGCATTGTTTTTATGCTCCAGCAACACCTTATGAATAATAATTCAAATATATTTCAATATATTGTAACCCAAAAATTCATAATTTTAAAAGCAGATGATCAATTATTACACGTTATTTTTCATCAAATTTCTCTCAATTATTTTTTATTTCATATGAAAAGAGCTTTTAATTGTTTTATTTAAATTGCCTTGATTTTTAAAAATGTTTGTCTTTTCTTATTTGCCTACGTGAAATTCTATGGAAATAATGGAAAGATTAGCGTATAAGCGCGAAATTAATAGATGAAATGTTTATCTTTTTATGAAAATTCCGTTTTTTTATATATATATTTTTATATTAAATTGAAATATATTGAGTGTACCTTGCGGTTATATATATTTCACTGATTAAAGAAAGTTTTAGAATAATTTTAAATTGAATTGAAATAATAAAAGGCTATTACCAAACAATAATTTTAAATTTGTGTTGAATCGATCATTTTTGATAATATATATTTATGAAAATAGACAATCCATATTTAAACCTTTAGATAATATTAAAAGGAATATATTAGATTAAATAAAAATATTTATTTGTCAATATTTTGCTTAGCAGAACTCCAACCGAAAAATTGTTAAATACTTTATAATTCCCTAAATATAAATATATATATATATATATATATATATATATATATGGAGAGAAAAGTTAAGTAAAGGTAAGGGAAACTTAAATAAGAAGAAATGAAGATAGTTGAAGGGATTTTATACTTTAACAAATCAGGGTTATAACAAGTTCATGCTCAAGACTCGGCACCTACCCGTCAAATGCTTAGGCATCTGCGTGAACTTGTTATATCCCTAAATTGTTAAAAGGTTTAACAAACCTTTTTGTAAACTTAAATTACAAGCTTTATCGTCTTTCCCTTTAATATCTATTTAATATTCATATAATTATTTTCATATATATAATTATAATATCTGATTATCAATATTAATTTACATTTATCTCTTAATCAATTATTGTTGAATTATTATTTATATACTCAATACAAATATTTTAAAATATAGGATAGACTTTATAACTTTTCTCCTTAATATTATAAGATATTTAACTTATTCTGATTGTAATTTTATAATAATATTTTCATGCACAAATTTCCCCCATCTTCTTTGTATTTTTTAAAAATTATATCAACTGTAATATTATAACACTATGTGGCGCTGAGTTTGTTATATACAAAAATGAAATGTCTTGATAAATGTTGGCGTTCAGCCAATTGAAATAATGGCAAATAAATCTTATATTCAATTCAATATATGCCTTCAAAAAATCTAAATATGAAAAATATAACGAACAAAAGGATATGTTCTCAATAAAAGAGGTTTGAAGAAAAGATACTAAAGTGAGGTAGGCCTAGCTATAAATAGCTTTAAGCTCGTCCAGAGCGATAAGCCTGGCCATAAAATACAAACATGGCAAGGAATGCCAACTGCTCCATTTTCTACTAACCCAACCTCTTCATTCTTCATTTAGACAAAATAGCTATAAATTAATTCCTTTTTAAATATCAGAGTGGAAATATCAAACTTCCAGGATTAAGTTTCTTTTAAAACAGTTTAAATCATACTTTCATAGATTCCGGGTACGAAATCCCTTTTACGAAAGTAAACACTCTACGATGAATTGTGAATATATATATATATATTGGCATATATTTTATTAAAATACATTTCTAGCTTTTTTTGGGTACGAAGGCCTTTCGAAAAGAGTAAACACCCTACAATAAATTAACAATTTCCCCTCTTTAGATAGTAACCATTTAATATAGAGTGGTTTTTTTTCTTGTAGAAAGGTTTTATAGCTATTAAGCTAGATATTTATGAAATAAAATGTTTTTTTTTAAACCTATCCCTGGAAGCCTGATATTTTCACCTTAAAATTTCAATATATTAATTTCAAATCATATAGAATAAAAAAATCGAAATAGAATATATAATTTACTTCTAAAAATCCGATATTTAGACCAGCTTGACATTTTATTAT